CCAAGTACGGGATCAAGGGGAAAATGTGGAGGGTGCTGAAGAAGATGACAGAGTGTACGAAAAGCGCGGTCATGCTAGACGGAGAACTGTCTAAATTCTTCGACATTGAGCAAGGGGTCCCACAAGGTTGCACGCTGTCCCCAACATTGTTCCAGGTGTTCATCAACGATCTGTTGGAAGTCGTAGAGGCAGTCCGGAAGGGAGTAAAAGTAGGGGACACGGAAACTTCGGTGTCAGGAATGCTGTTTGCGGATGACTTTGTTGGTATGTCGGACACCCCTGAGGGACTGCAACTGCAAATTGACGCGGCGAAGAAGTTTACTGATATGTGGAGATTGTCTGCCAACGTTACGAAGAGTGCCGTCATGGTATGCAACGAGGGCAGGGAGGAACCAGTAGAACATAGATGGAAGTGGGGGATCGAGGAGATTGCAGTAGTCGACCAGTACACATACCTCGGAGTAGAGATCGCAAAAGATTGCTCGTGGAATGCACACATGTCCAAGGTAGCGGAAAAGGGCAAAGCACGAGCAGGGAAGCTTCACCCAATACTCGCAAACCGGCACCTTGATACACGCATCAAATTGACGGTTTTGAAGAGCGTAATCGTACCGCCGCTGGAGTACGCCGGAGAAGTATGGGAAGGAAATAAGAAGGTAGTGAAAGAACTCGAGGCGGCGCAGATGAAAGCAGCGAAAATCATCCTAGGATGCTCCAAGCGCACAAGTAATGCAGCAGTCAGGGCAGAATTGGGGATCCAATCCCTACGGTCGGGAAGAGACGTAAGGAAGCTGACATGGCAGTACCGCATGTGCGGGATGGGAGAGGAGAGGTTGCCGAGAATAGTATGGGAGGCGAAGTGGGCAAAAAAAAAGAGGGGTAGACAACCCACGGAATGGGTCAAGGTTGTAGAGGACGTATGGAAGGGATTGGACATCAACGAAGATGAAACGCTGGAAACGGAGGGTCTACAGGGGTTCAAGAAGAAGATATCTGTTGCTTGTGCCGACAGAGAAGAACAGAATCTAAGGAAAGAATCCAAGGATAAGGAGGGTCTAGAAGTGTACGGAATGTTGAAAGAAGGAATAGGGTTCAAGGATTACCTACATGGACCAATGGATGCAGGGACAAAGCTTAAGGTCAAATTCAGGACCGGGGACATAGGCCTTCGCGAACGTCGACGAAGACATAGGACGGTAGACGACGAAGACGACAAGTTCAAATGTGATTGCGGCTTCGAATGCGAAGACCGTGTTCATGTAGTCGCGGAATGTCCGTGGTACGAAAAGGAGAGGGAAGTGTACATGACTGAGCTGGGAAGAATACAAGGGACATACAGGGAGATGTTTGAGGCATGGAATAGAGAGGAGAGGACGGTAGCGGTACTGGGGAGTAGGAAGTGGTTTGAAAAGGCGGGAAGTGACATCGGTAGGATAGACAGACTAGGGAAGACATTTTTGAGCCACCTTTGGCAAAGTAGGAAGGAACGATTGGCCATCGGTGATCGGTCCTGTGGGAACAATGCTCCGTCCTCTCGAGGACGCGTGGTCAATGGTCTAACCGCTAAGGCATGCAAAGCATAAGAGTACGCCCCCCCCCCCCCGATTTTTCGTTGCCCGATCGTTTGTAAAAGGTGGGAAAGGACTGCATTTCGCCCGTGTACACCGCCCCCGACGGTCCCGTAATTTTAATCCAAAAAGAGGATTTCCTGCTGGGTACTGCCCCGCTCGGGCAGGTAGTCCACTACACCTGCGCGCGCGCCAAGCGCAAGGACCTAATCCGCGCTACATACAAGAAACAAGACGAAAGGCGTGCTTGCGAAGTATCAGAAGAAGCAGCAGGGCACGCAGAGCAAGCAGGCTGAGAAGCGCTCCCGCGTCGAAGCGACGGTCAGCTTCGCGGCGCTCGAGTCCGATTGGACGACGAGCTTCTCGAAGAATATCTGACTCTTAAGAGTTTGTGCATTTCGCTGTTGTTGATACGTCCGCTTTTTGAAGGCGTTAGACCAGCATTTTTGCGTATCCTCCGTTTGTGCGAGAGGAACACAGTTCGCTGTTGTTGATACGTCCGCTTCCGCTTCTTGTGCACGTTAGACCGGCATTGTTGCGTATCCTCCGTTGGAACGAGAGGAATACAGTTCGCTGTTGTTGTTGATACGTCCGCTTCTTGTGGACATTAGACCGGCACTGCTGTTGCGTATCCTCCGTTTGTGCGAGAGGAATACAGTTCGCTGTTGTTGATACGTCCGCTTCTTGTGGACATTAGATTGGTATTGTTGCGTATCCTCAGTTTGTGCGAGAGGAATACAGTTCGCTGTTGTTGTTGATACGTCCGCTTCTTGTGGACGTTAGACCGGCATTGTTGCGTACTTTTCCGTTAGTACGGGAGAATATATTTCGCTGTTGTTGATACGTCCGCTTCTTGTGGGCGTTAGACCGGCATTGTTGCGTATTATCCTCCGTTTGTGCGAGAGGAATACAGTTCGCTGTTGTTGATACGCCCCCTATTTGTGGACGTTAGACCGGCATTGTTGCGTGTTTTTCCGTTTGTACGGGAGAATATACTTACTTCTAAGACATGTGATGTCCAATGGTCGTCGCCTGGGTGTTGTAGCTTTTGGGGACCTTTCCATTCGCTTGCCTGTTGAGTACGTCTTTCGAGCCAGTAGTTTTCGCCATGAAAGAAACCAGCGTTGCAGGCACTCAGCGTTTGGACATGGGCAGAAGAATCAACTGCTGTTGTTCAGGAGGCAAGTACGTTGTGTGGCCTTTGGTTCCTATCCCCGACGATATTGAACGTCTATACAGAACACCACAGCTAGCTCCTGTTCCTCCACGTCCTACCCCGCCGTCATCAACATGGAATATTTTGGATGGAATTGGTGATGGGGCCTGTCTTCTCAGAGCAATTTCTAGAAAAGCCTTTGGTGACCCAGCGAATCACGCGCAAGTTCGGCATGGCATTGATTGTCCAACACGTACGTACAGCACAACCCAGGAACCTTTCATACAGACATATCAAACGGATTCGGAAACGACCCAATTCGGATCCAAGGATCTCCGCCATCAGTGTACTATTCTCTTCAGGACTACCTGTCCATCATAGCTCAACCCTCCGCATACGGTGGTTACATTGAAGTTGCTGCTGTCTCACATTTGTACGGACTCACCACAGAGGTTGTCATCGCCGGCACCCCTTTCCCGCCACCGCCTCATCCTCCTCAACAAAACACTTTGCACGTACTTTTCCACCCTAATTCTTTGCACTACTCTACTTACTCCGTCTCCAGAATACACCGCATGAATCTTTTATCCTGAGTACTGGTTGCCATTCCCTTGCATCGCCCCCTGTGTTCAAGACAGACAGTGAAGCCACCTCCGAAGGGGTATCTTGTACTTGTATATATATTTGATCTGCATCGTGTTTGTGCGCCGCACTTCGCCTTCACGGTCCATGAGGGAAGGGGGCCGCTGAACCCTTCTCGCATCATATGAGGGAAGGGGGCCGCTGAACCCTTCTCGCATCATATGATGCACGTAATTCACACAGACAGTAGACTAGTGCAGTACAGCAGTACCACATGATACTGCTGTGCTGCTGCTGCTGTACATTCAAGCAACCAGAGGCAGTATGCATACATACAATATTACATCACGGAGAGGGACGCCTGCTGCGGCCTACAACACATACATGTAGACTATATATGTGCACAAAGAGAGGTTCTTGTTCGATGCTCCTCAAACTTGTTGTTGTGCACAGCAGCAACATATATCCCCAAGTGGCGTGGCTATCGTAGTGCAGTAAGGACATTGGCCACGACGTTTGCTGCAGGGATCTTAGTGGATGGTGATTTTTTTTTTTGGAAAGGGGGTGTGTGCTCGCCGAGAACGCCAACAAAGGGTTTCCAGGTTCCCTGCCGTTCTGCCGTTTCAGCTTTTTTTTTGTCCACATTTCTTTCCGCCGCGCCGTCGAGAGAAACGTTGTTTGCGCCGCACTTTTTTCTCAGTGACGGCGCTCAGCCAGCACATTCGGCGGTTCCCGTATTTGGGAAAAAGAAGCGAGAAGGCCAGGTAGGGCGTAGGAGTTCAGCTGATAACGAACAAGTCCTACGGTAGCGTACGTTGCACACGAATTGTAGTTCGGTCCAGCACTGCTGTTGTTGTAGGAACCGTTGCGTATATGTATCGTGAAATTCGGTTGAGTAGTCGTTAGAGAGGACAACGCCGGTATTCCCGACAGAGAAGGTCCCATAGAATCGTCCCCACCAACTAATACCATGCGATAGGTTGACGTTTGGGCGGTGGCGAAACGAGACATGTGCACATATAGACGACAAGCACAACTTCATTAGTTTAGAGTACAGCGTGCATAGACTCCTGCTGCAGCACCACAGCAAAATAAGTACTTCTTGGAGCTTATTTTATATGGGCGCCTCGGGAAAAGAGTGTGCGAACCTCCACGGGAAAGAGCTACGGTATTCAATCGCCCCGCGTCGATACTGCCTCATGGGAATAACAGGTGCTACAGGCACCGACCCACTTGTCCAACTCACTTCTTATATTTATTGCTGAGCTGATTTGGGTATTTCTTTGAAAACTCCAGACCACTCCCGCATCCAACTACGACCAACCAGGACTTCCACTCTTTGTCAGTACACGCCACTCCCAAAAAACAGTTTCATGTACAACTCGTCGCACCACATCATCAATCATTTGCGCCTCGCCACAACTCCCACAGGCTATCAACGGACGGACACAAAACACAGCAAGAAGTGTCGCCGCTTACCTAGCCGGCACGAACAGAGCACCAGAACGATGACACCGTCTTCTATGCCTCGTGTCGCGGGGAGAGAGCATCGCTCGACGATGCCGTGGAACTTGCACGGCCATGGCACCCGCGCTTCCCTCCTTTTCGTCGCCATGGTTTTCGTCGGTGGCTATCCTTCTTCGTCGTTCTGGCCATCATCATCCTCATCTACGGCCACCCGGGGCAATGGTTTCATGCTCTCCGCGGAAGCTGCAGCGTCGGCAATCGACACCCCGGCCACCGCTCTCGGCGACGCCACTATCAAGAAGTCGCTGGAGGAGGTGGAGGAAGACGGGCCGTTGTCCTCAAAGCACGGCGATATCAGCGGCGGCAGCAAGCCTCTCCCGCTCGAACGCAAGTTGAGGCCCGATGTCCGGACCGAGGATGACTCTGACTCGCCGGATCTATATTTCGACAGCATCAGTTCGAGCATCCCGACCGTCCTGCTTGAAGGATGCCTAATCCCCGCGGATATGACCTCCGTGAAGGTGAAACACGACAAGCCGAAGACCGGCAACATCGCCGAGCACGCTATCGACGGTGACCCTTCGACCTGGTGAGGGTCTAAAACAACCGACGCGAGCGAAGTGGATAATATCTGTACATATGAAGACCGTGAGCTTGGGCAGATAGACCAAATACTACAAGGTTGATGTGTTCGTGGAGATATTTCGTCTAGAGTGGAAGCTGTGCGGCGCTGGTATTTTTCGCACTACTGTACGCCGACGTTCTTACGCTGACGAATATATCAACAGGGTAGTCTACAAACTTGCCAAACAAGTTGTCTATATATATGCAGACGCTCAGTTGTTGTTGTGGCTTGTTGGATAATGACAGGTGGGGGAGAAGAGGCATAAACAGGTGGATGGACATCGAATTCGAGGGCGGCGAGGACGGCGATTCAGACGTCAGTGGCGTAGCCATCGCCTTCTTTCGTGGGCACAGGAGGAGCGCCTTTTTCGATGTGAGCAGCTGTTTTGGAGAGAAAGAAAACAAGGGGAGAGGGGAGGAGATGAGGGGTTTACAGAGAGAAACGCCTCCTAGAACGTGTGTGCGGAAAGTGCTCTTTCGATTGACTGCTGTGTTTACACAATGTTTAGATCCAGGAATTTAAAACCTTTTCGATTTGACTCAGCAGAAAATCCAAACTACAGTATGTCGTTGTCAAGAGATGTGTAAAATAAATTGCTCTGGGATGCCTGTAGACACTTGAGGAACAAGTTCGAAACACACAGTAGCATTCGCGCGCCGAAGGTCCGGAGATTTCTCCAAACCAGTCAGGAAACAGATTTATTACCCCCCCTTCTTGAAGGAATACGAACGGCGCTCCGTCAAAAATGAGGAGGATGGGACCAGTGGTCCGAACACGAAGGCAACCAAGTGACCTCCCCCCCTCCCCCCCCCCGCCCCCCTCCTAAATGTTTTCGCTATCGATTCCATATGACGCCACTTCGTAGCTTTACTTTGTTGTCCTGCTCCTGCCGCGCCCTGTCCCGGGCATACCGCTTTTCAGATGACCCTGTACGACAAGTACGACAACGTCGTAGCCAAGAGGAAGGACATCGAGAGCGGAGGGCAGACCCAAGACTACGAGACGTTCTACTTCGAGGAGCACGCGGAGGGGTCCAAGGTCCGTCTCGACTTCAAGGGCACCACGGCAGGAATATGGAACGCCGTCGCGGAGGTCAGTGGGAAGCAACACCAGTCTAGACCGTTTGCTCTCATGCCGTGAACTTGCCACCATATGTCCCTGCCATTGGGAGCTAAAGGATTTTTCTATAGCTGCAGCTATTAACACGCCTGCTTGCGAACTTGCCAACTTTGATGCGCGGCGCGTTGCTCGCGCCGGCTTAGGCACATAGCGCGTCAAGTACCTGCCAGGTGTCCCTTTAACCGAGCTCGCTCCTATTTCTTCCCATCGTTTGATCCTGTCTTGGGGTAGAATTGCTTCATCCTTGCCGTTTCACCAGCAACCATTTGAAATCACAATAGCCACGGCAATCCCACCCCACACCTCTAATGAAACATCGCCGAACAAACAGGTGTCCATCTGTCTCCACAACATCGTCACTCCAGCGCCGGTGTCCCCGCCGACCGTGCCACCGTTGACCTCGTCGGGATTGACGTACGTGGGATGCTTCATGGACGACGACACGGGGCTGACGAGGTTCCTCGACGACAAGAGCATGCAAGACGAGAACCTCACGCCTCAATCTTGTGCGGAGTTCTGCTCCGGGTAAGGGAGAGAGATAGATAGAAAGGAAGAAAACATGGAGACAAGTAACGTTGAGATTCGATCAAATAGCCGATCGATCGAGAGAAAGGGATACATAGAGAGAGAGGCGTTGACACCAGGATATGGAGAATCCGCCACAGCCTGGAGAGATCCACACCGTCCCGATATAGTTGCTCGGTGTTTGTCAGAATTGTGCCAAATGCAGGCGGCTTGTAGATTCGGGGCTATTGTTGTTGTGCTGTTTGCGAAATCACGAGGACAAGTCCGTTTTTCGGGTGATATAGTGACATCCATTCGAGCCGCACACACACATGTTATCGGGAAGTCTTCGCGCTAACCCGCGCAAGGCTTGCGTTTGTGATGGAGAGGATGATGATATGACTCCTTCAAAGTACAAGTGAGGTACCCAGGACAAGACTGTTTCTTCACGCGAACCATAGCAGCAACAGGGTGAGCCTCAAGGCGCCCTGGGCGAAGGAGCATGGTGCACGGACCAGTAGAGTCGTGCGAGGTTTCGAGGAGTTCATCCGTTCTTCTTCTGTTTCGCCGGCACCCACATCCAACCTATGCTGCTGTCCACCTTCTATCCCCGTGGAGGCCAAGCCAGCCCAGAGAGGTCATCTCACACCGATGTTAACCGACCCTCCTGCCCCCCCGAGGACGCAAGTAGTGATTGAGCAGGGTGATCGGTGGACTCATCACTGGGGCAAGTAGCATGCACACAACCCACATACACACAGTGGGACCTTTATCACTATCAGAGGATACCCCACAAGAACAATGAAAATACATATTATATCCAATTAGGCTCGTTTTAAAGCGGGATGCGTATTTTTTCCGTTCAATGGAAAGAAGAAGGTATAACGAGAACTGAAAGCCAGGAGGGCCTGTAAAGAAATTAGTTGTTCATGCCGACGACCCCCGCGTTCTTCTCTATCGCCAGAATGGGAGCATTCCTAGACATGCGCTCGTGAGTCACCCAGCCGCAACAACAACCCTTTCCAAACTAGAAAAGCATATTCTTGAAGAGCAATCAAGTGACTGCCCCACCACCCCCCTCCGTCCTCTCGAAGACGCGTGTTCAACGGTCTAATAACCGCTAAGGCATGCAAAACATAAGAGTACCCCCCCCTCCCTCCCCCTACACCTGACCAGGTACAAGTACATGGCGCTGCAGTACTCTCAGGACTGCTTCTGCGCGGATACGTACTACACTGCCGAGAGGGACGCGATTCCAACCGACACCTGCAACATGCCCTGCAAAGGTGACGAGAACGTCATTTGCGGTGGAGCGTGGTCCAACTCGATCTACATCGTGGGGGACCCCACGGAAATGACAGAGGAGGAGCTGGCGGTGAGACTAGAGAGAGAGAGAGAGAGAGAGAGAGAGATAGATAGAAAGAGACTGAGAGAGACTGAGAGAGACTGGGAGAGAGACTGAGACAGACAGACAGACAGACAGTCAGTCAGACATAAAGACAGACAGACAGACCATCGGTTCGATGTACAAATAAACAGATCTGTAACGCCATTGGCTGTTACACTCATTACTCCGTTCATAAACGGAGTATTTTCATCTCGCCTGGGTATTTCGTGGACGACCAAACAGGAGGCACAAAAGTTCGTAAATGCTGACGAAGGAGAATGTTTGGGGGGAACAACAACAGCGGTGGCACAATAACAAGTGCTACTCGTAACGGTATTGCTTCGTCTATGCTTTGTTCGGACACTCGAGACCGTGCGCATTTCTTCGGAAGGGGTCTCCTACCTCCGTCAGCTACTCAGCACGTCCCGACCTATCCCATCGCGTACCCTCATATTGTACGCTTGAATTCACCCAAAAGGCGCAAGAAGGACCGAAAGAGAGCGACGGCGTCCCTCGGAGGAAGTTCACCGTGATCAACAGCTGCTTCGAGCAGGTCAGACTTGGGGCCACCGGAGGGTACGTGAAGGCTCTGGACGACCCCACCGTGGAGTCGTGTCCCGAAGGGAGCGTGCTCGACGAAGCGGTAAGAGAGAGAGAGAGAGAGAGAGAGAGGTGCACAGAGAATGGCTTTTGTGCTGTCGAGAGTTCAGTAGAGAGTGAATAGCAATCGAATGTCTGCACACAAATGGCATGAGGACAACCAAGAGGTATACGGGCATGGTACACGAGCCCATTACAAACAGCACAGCCATGGTAACTGCTATGCGCCCACAACACAAGCGGTATGGAGATATACGATCTCCCACAAAACAGGCGGTATAGGAGAAATACGATCTCGGCCTGACGGCACGACATGACAACTGCTCAACAGACGAAGGCATGTAGACGCTTCTATATGTAGTGTACCACCCTCCCTCCCTCCCTCCCTCCGCCACGCGTCCTCTCGGCGATACTAAGACTCGAAAAGTCCACCCAACAAGAGCTTACCTTGTTAGTGTGCACAACAATGCTTTCTGATGCGCTTGGCGACACCAAGCGTTGAGACTGGCATAGATGTGCATGGCTCGAATCGTATCCCACCACAACGGAAGTGCTTGCCTTGTTTCACGCAAAAGCGAGAGCCTTGCCTGCCTCCCGTCTCGGAATGTGGTCAGCGAAACGGTACAAAATTGTCTCTATCTCACATACCCCGCACTTCCGTGCGCGTGCACCCTTCCCCCATCGATTCGCGTACTTGGCCGTTGGTGCTGGTTCGCCCAAACACGTAGGGTGTACCAATGGCATATTTTTTATTATGTGGCTGCAATATCTTGCCGGCCGCCTTCCGCTTGAATGCTGCACTCAGTTGCGTGTTGTTGCTGTCGTTGTTGCTCCTCAATCCTCGAAGGTCGGGGCCTGTTTCTGGGGGCTACCGCTGCCCGAAGACGACAAGACTTTCGACATCGAACCAGGAGGGTCCATCGAGGTCATCCTCGACAACAATGCCGTGAACGGTACGTACAAGGCAGGGCGCGTGGTTTGCGCGTCTTGCTCCGTTTTTCCGTTATGCTCGACTTGTTCGTTCGAACTTCGGCTGCATGTACGTAACATGCGCCATCATCTCGCCAGAGAAGGACCACTGCTATTGTCCCGCTGTACTCCCAGTAAGGACGAAGAGTCAGGTCCCCCCACTTTGAGGCTGCTGCTCTTAAGCGATTGTTTCGGGGTCGGATGAGCTTCAAGTTGCCATACCATACTGCAGGGCCTCTCGTGCACGCCGGTATTGCCGGGCTGAACCTACCGCACTCAACATTGGCGGGGACTCAACACATGGCGGGGGTCCCCGCCAATGTTGAGTGGAGAGGGGAGGTTGGGAGAGACTGGGGCCCGAGGGGGATCTCGACTGGATACCGTATGTATGTAGATGGCACGATAGAAACATAAACATGTTCTGCGGCGTTCCGGCTGCGCTTTTGTCATCTATCTGTGGTTGTCACGGCGTTCTAGGTGTGCGGTGGAGCGGCAACATGTGGGCTGCGACCGGGTGCCACAGCAAAGTGGGCTGCGAGACGGCCTCCTGCCTGCGGAACATCGGCTACCCGGACGGCTACTGCCCTCCCTCGACGGGACCCACCGGTCCCGTCACTAAGGCCGAGTTCACTCTGGTGGGTTTCCAAGCGAAGTCCGTCGGCCAAACGCATATACGGAGTATGGATAGAAAAACATCAAACATAGATGCGCGCTTTCGCGTCAAGACCGTCAAGATGGAAATTGCGCACACCGCCACCATCGATCACCCATCGCTTCGACCGTACCCCTCCTATCCCCTCTCCTGCCCCCGACCGGTACGTCCGACTCGTGTCGCTCCTCCCATCTCTACGTTGTGTCGGGCACGTACGTGTCCCGTCGGCTATGCAACAGGTGGACACGGGGGTGGACTACTACGATGTCACCGCGATTGACGGCGTGAACGTCCCCGTCGAGATGAAGCCCGATCCGCTCAGCTCGCCGTTGGAGAAACTTGAAGACCCTTGTGAGTATGCGAGCGTCACCGAAAAGCCGAATAGAAGCAAGAGTCAAGTTTGCAGTGGTTGGTAGATGGCAACGGGGACACCGCAGTGGGTGCAGAGTCTGTCCCAGACGTGGTGGCGATTGGATCGCCACATAGAAAGTTTGGAGAACGGCTTCGTAGCATGTATGCAGTTCGTCCCAAGACGACAGTACGAGCTAACGCGTGATACCAGGTTGATGTACTGCAAAGGGATGAAACGTCATGTAGCGGGAAGGTTTCGACGGGTCAATTTCAATCAGTCAGAGTAATATGGAAGAAACAGTGTCGAAGCACGTGCACACAGCGATGACCGAAATAATTAACTGGTTCAACGTATTGCCGGCTACACACAAGAATCTATAGAGAGACATCACTACCACCGGTAGACAATAACGGCCGTCTCCAGTTTTCGGCGGGTCAGTTTTTCAGTAGAGAACCAATAAGCCGTGCTCTTCTCATTCCCGGTGCGTACATGCCGTGAAAGGAGAGTTTATCTCTTCTTGACTCATCAGACTGATTCGTTTTCATGTCCTTCCCCGCCTTCGTCTCTCTTCTTTCTTCCTAGACTGGTGCTCCAACCCTGGAGGCGTTTCTTCGATGAGCGAAGAGCTCGAAGGGTGCACTTGGGAGTTCGACGCGACCGAGATCGACGGCTTCCCCGACCACGACATGTCCATGTATGTGTGTGTGTGTACAAGCAGCCGCATGGGTTGGTGTCTGATACCTGTTGTTACTTTTGGTGGTGGTGGTGGTGGTGGTGGTGGTGTGGTGGTGGCGGCTTGTTTGCCGTCGACAAACTCTTAATTTTACGCAAGACGATCTCTGAACGTGAAGGCCAGAACAACAACCAACAACAGCAACAACCACAATCACCAACGACCACAACCCTCTCTTCCTGCAAGCAGTGCGCGCGCTCGTGCGCCTGTGTGGCGCCAGTAGAAGAAGGGTTGAAGTCGCTGTTCATATGGCCACAATGCAAGCGCCCGCGTTGGCGTCGACTTATCTTCCTATTAACAGAACATACCGGCAAAACGTAAGGATCCGGTCTATTCCGTGGCCTTTCACTGATTGATCACACGCACCCACCACCAAAAGACCAAAACCAACTGAACGGTGGAACCCTCGTCTGAAACGTCACACCGATATATAGGTACCTCCGCTGGGTTCGAAACGACGGCCTGTTCACCGACTGCGAAGACGACTCTGACTGTGAGGATGTGGAAGGCGAGGGTGTCGGGCAGAAGCTTAAGTGCGGTGCGCTCTTCGGGCAGGACACGCTCAACGGCGGTGTCACAGAAGAGGTGCGGATGGTAGTGCATTGCTGGAATGCACGGTATATCGACCGAAATACTCACGCAACATGTGTGAGGTGTTGGGGTAGTGTTGCGGCATGTATTGGCCGCCTTCATCGATCGCCCCATCCCGTGGTTGGTGGCTGTCGCTCGTAACTTTCTACAGTCACAACACCTGAGCAAATAAAAAACATAACACCCACCCCTCCACTATTGTTCCACTCTGCGGGATGTTTGCACCACGACCGTGCCAGATGTTCCCCAAGAAGTGCGGCTCCAACCTGGGGTGGCACAGCCCCAACGCCATCTGCGGAAATTCGAGATCGAAGCCCCTTGGGTAAGCTGCCGCTCAAGTGCTCGACAGACGCACCGCAGATGGTTTGTTCTTGAAGCATTGGCTTTTCTTTGGATGGTTCCGATGTTTTTTCTCTCCGTTAACAGAGAGGAATGCTGGGGTGAAACTCCTACCACCAGCAAAAGTGATTGGCAGGGATACGAGAAGGAAAGTATAGCCATGGACTCAGACACGAGAAAATGAAGAAAACCGGTGTCATTTTTTTATAGTTAAGAGATTTAGAGGGAGGGGGGGGGGAGCTCCGGGAGAGGGGGGCGACACCTCTCGTGCATGCCTGTCTCCAGGTTGGTGGGTTAGTTATGATCCAAATGGAAGAAAATAGAAGTATGGCACTGCATAATTTCGTACCCTTGTTGATGGGGACAGAGGGCACTAGAAGTCATGATGCGGGCCGAGGATTGTTTGACAGGTGGCACATATTGTGCTACAACGTAACAAGAGCATGGCAAAGGGCCATGGAGTATGCGAGGGAGTATGCGAACAGGCGGAAGCATATACGTGGTTGGATAGTGCGCTGGTGGCAACGAAATCGTGTATGCATACACTGTCCCCCCCCCACACACATACCCTCCCTCCCGCCGTGACCCCTTTCGTGTGTTCCGTCTTTTCGTCTATCCACACATCATCGCACCAGGTACTTCCCCAACTCGTTCCCTTTCATGTGCGACAAACACACGATGCAAGTGATCGGGGACAACTCTACCTATTCCGACATCTATGGCTGCGCTGGCCCCATATATGGGCTGTCCGGGTAAGAATGTGTCGAGTTTGCCCCCAAATTCGAGCTATGTGTTCGTAAAAGTCCGTGAGAGCAACTACGGCAATGTTTAACCTTGATGACACCGGCACATTGAGTTGTGCGCTTCGGCAGCTCCCAATCTGGCTCTTCACCAACAAATGTATGTTCGTTTTCCCTGCTGCTGCTGCTGCTGTTGCTGCTGTTTTTACCACTACGGTTGCTTCTGCTACCGCTTCTTCTGCCGAGCAGGTACAGCAGGAACGCGGAGGACACGGCGTGCGGCTGCCCCGACTGGCCCGCCTTGGGCATCAACGCCCCGTCGGAGTCTACTTGCTACGGCAAGAACCCATACTGGGAGGCGCTGTCCGTGCCGTGGCTCAAGTACCTCAAGCGCGCCTGCCCCACCGCATGTGAGCTCCATACACAAGACTAAATCATCCGCACTAAATTATCTTGTGTACACCACCAGTATTATACTCCCCCTGCGTAGAACCGTCGAGTTTGGGGGAGGGAGGGGGGGAGATTCGGCAAGCGTAATAATCCATTGCTCGCACGTTTCCCCTACCGTACGGTCTTGCCTGTCTCACCCCTCCGAGCCGGATCCGGCGCCACAGAAAACACCACTCTGTGGTGCATACCTTCATTTTTTTAATCCGAGAAGGGTTCAGCAGTTCCGGCGCCGGCACGCGTGCTTTTGGAAAGCGTTTTTTGTTCACAGTAGGATACACAAGGAATGCGGGATAAACACCTCGCCGTTCAGCGAACCTTCAACCTAGCTGCCGGACGTTTTTGAGGATACCAACTACAGCAGATCACCAGGGCGAACCATCCTCGTTTCGTCTAGCCTGCAGTGACTCACTCTACATGCCTCCTCCAAGGCAGAAGGATGGCAATTAATTTTGTTCTCGAAAGCAGCACTCCATCAAGAACCGAGTCCTGGTAGCATTCCATGTGGATGTGTAGGTGAACAGAGGCGCGGGACGCATAAATAAGCGTGGGTAGGTGCTCTATAACCGTCTGCTGCGTGTATTGGTAGTTGGGAAACATCACCCTCTAGGCGCATCATTTGACGTATGTATTCGATCTACCGCTGTATCTTTCTTCCCCGTTTTAGCAGGAACTATGTTGTTATCAACCCGAACCGTCTAACCTCGCCTTCCTCCCCCGCTGTGCTCGAATGACGGTTTCAGACTGCTTCCCGTACGACGACCACTCTTCGACGTTCGTGTGCCGTAACGAAGACGAGAACAACGACCACGACGGCAAGAACAGCATGTCCTACACCATCGAGTTCTGCCCCGGAGATTCGCAGGGCAACCTTCTAGAGTGGTGATCAACGGAACGATGAATGGAGATGAGGAGGATTGGTGATGAGGAGTCATGGCGACGGCGGTGGCGAGTAGTCAAACGGTGGCAGCAGCCGTTGCGGTAGGAGTATCGTCCGTGTGCAGTAAGGCTTATGCTCCATCGTCGGAGGGACAGAGGAGACGCGAGCGAGCTGGGTGAACGGATGGATGGGTGGGATGCACGAAAACCAGTGCATCGAGAAAGATGATGAGTGTTTTGCACGCTGCACTGGGCCGTGTTTAGCGCGTACCGTTCACCTGGCGAACCCTTGTCGGATGGCAGACCAAAAAATCCTGCTGGCATGAAAGGCGGCTGCCTTGTACTCTATTGCTTTTGTAATTACGTATTTTCTTCGCTTCATTTTCTTCCCTTCTATCACGGACGACGTTCCGATTGCCTTCGCATGTTTTTTAGGGGCTACAGCAAGTAGTAGTATTATAGCAGTCATCCAAGCAAAGTAGTTTCATTCAAGGGTGTGGAACCTCAGCATGTTCTTAGCGAAACGGACGGCAGGAAACAAACTCCGTCTAGAGGCACCACAGCGGGCAAGGTAGTATTTCTGAACAATCTACATGGATGATGGTTTCTTGGGGGTACTCTCTTACGATGCATGACCTTATGTTTTTGAGCAGACGTTCGATGGAACAAGGTTACGGAGTTGTTTGAGGCTGGCTTTCTAGGGTGGAGTCATACCCTCCCCTCGAGGGGTACCAGTGCACACCGCATATCCCAGAGAAGTGTCATAGCTCCGTCAAAAGTACGGTGCTGTAGCCGGGGCATCAAATAATAACAGCTCTTCCAAATAGGGCTACAGTATTTTCCTGAATCCCCCCCCCCCCCCCCCCTGCAAAACCACCGAACGCGAATGGAGATACTTTTGTCGTAGAATCATGCCAGAGGGGGGGGGAAACAGCCATCACCCACGGTGTAAGTTGTTCGCGGCGGGGGTTTAAGCCGCCATTTCGGTGCTAATTCATAACTTTGAATGTAAATGTCGATGTAATAGAATTGGAATTCTACCCTGTCTCTATCGTGCAGCAGCTGTCGCCATTGGTGCAGCAGCAGATATACGGCATTTCAGCATTAAAATACGAGTACAGTGCGTGCCTCTGAACAGTACAGAGAAACGGCGCATGTAAAGTAATTTGTAACGGACGTGCTTTTTGTATTTCGGGACATTGTCACAGTGTGCTGCTTACAGTGGTGTATTTCGTGGCTGTGTGCCCTCCATTGTATCGGTCGGTGTCTTTTTGTTGGCGGTTGTTGTGTTCGTTTTCTTGAAGCCGACGCCTTTGTTTGGCGGCCATCCCCACATGATGGGGCTTTGAGCAGACGTAATCTTGTTGTCTTGTTCCACTGGCCGCGTGCTCTGTTCAAGGAAGCTTCAAGGAAGGGTGGGTGTATTAACTACTGTAGTGTCTACAAGCAAGCGTGTACTACTCTAACGTATCATGGTGTGGTAGGCACATGCATGTATCCCCGCCCTTGAGGTGTGTCACATTTTTGTTAACGGGCAGTTTGGGGCTGTGAACCTGGAGGCGCTTGCTTCTTGTTAGATACCGGTGTCAAGACCCGCGAAATATATTCTATTGCGCCACGCACAAGGAGTTGGGAGAGATTCAGACACGCGGAGGAAGGAGTGGGGGTGGGTGGGGCTTCAGACACGTACGTATGGACGGGGGGGATACACGCGCAAGGAGGGTTGGAGATTGAGCTTGATTGAGGGCGAGTTTCAAGCGCATCTCGGCTGTTTCTCGAAATGCTCCTCAAAAACTTCAATGGATCATAGACAAAACATGATACTTATCACGTTTGACATGCTCTCTCTGTCCCTGGGAAATGAGCTGTGCACAAAAAGGGTTTATGCACTTCGTGTGTCCTAACCCTTTTACTGCATACTGTAGAAGTACTGGACGCCCAAACGGGGACACATTTTAATGCTCCCTCTCCTCATCTGTTAGGCATAAACACAGGAGGGATCAACCAGTGAAGGGGGGGGGGGGGGGGGGGGGGCCC